CTATTCAACATCATTCAGCCATATTTCATTCAAGTCACGATTTTAACCATGGGAATTCACCATATTTAACCTTGGGAAATCGATCATATGATCTGGTCGGCGCTTTGGAACCATGGAATTTTATTATTTTCCATTCAGTTGGGAATTTCATAACCCTAACTGACGAACTCATATTTTTCAGAGGGGTAGGTATACCACCAATCAGATGGGAGAATCCAGCGAAAAGGGACATATCCGATCGCCGCTTACTGACATGATCCTCCAAGAAGACCTCAAACAAAAATATCCAACATAGGGGATATTGTCTTCAACTTGGAATATGTATATAAATTTGAGCAATACGTGGAGCCTTTCGATCCACAGCAAAATTAAAATGACATATTCCAAGTTGACGAGCAAAATGCTGTAAGGACTTGAAAACAACTGGAGACGTTGTAACATACACAGGAAAACATTGGAAAACACAATCCAATGACAATAACACTGGAAATCAGTTGATTGAAACTCTGCATCAAAATGATGGGATTTCTTTGTCCAGCTGTGGACCGTTTTCGGATTTCCACCCGCACGCAAGGCACATCTCGTGCGGTGGGATCATCTGCAGCATGTTGAAAAATCATGGCGACCGAAGCCTATCCCAACAGGTTTCCTTTTGGAAAACAGCAACGCAAAAAAATCGCGCATTGAAAGATTTGCACCTGACTTATTGGTTGATGAATTGTATGCAGAATCAGGCGATTCATCAGCCCCTTTTTAAAGTAGCCCTTGTGGCTTCTCGTGGCTGCTCAGCCCTGAGAGCTGCCAGAAGCTGTCTAGATGAACACTTTGAAGACCTTAGGGCAAGCTGTTCATGTTCGTTTTCTCAGGGTACTAAGGTTTTACATGTTTTACCCTGAACCCATAGTGAGACCTGAAAGGGGGATCGTAGGCCACATGACGCAATTCCTGGACACTGTACATTCATCGGTGAGGGCCACGGGTGACATCTCACGGCTTGAGGGCCATGCAGGTTTTGGACGTTGATCGACACTCCAAGTTCAAAGTGGATCGCATCGACGACGGTTTTCTGCCACACCGCCATTTGGAGACTTTGACATCTTTGCATCATCGGTGCAGTCAGTCTAAGGTTCCAATTCACATCATCATCTGTTCTCACGTCGAAAGGAGTGAGAAGAACTTGCAGGCTTTGTTGGATTGTGCAGAACGCAGTCGACTTCCTGTGAGTTTGATCCTTGTGACAGTGGAAAGAACCGGAGTGCAAGGCAAGTTTGCCGCCATCAGAGATGCGGTGAAAGGACAATTCTGCCTCTTTGACGACATTTAGCGTTACTCCCTGGTAATTGATAGTTCGAGGATTTTCTTGATTTAGCCATGAAAGATGGTGTTTTTTTCATAGCTATGTGAGGGAGATCTCACGAGTTTCTTCCAGAGTCGCATGATGAAATCACATTAGTGTTTGTATCCCTTCTTTAACCCCAAAAAAGAATCAACAAAAAAACGATTAAATCATGTGAATCATGTGCATTTATATATATATATATATATATTCCTTTCTTTAACCGTTTAACCCAGAAAAAAAACATCTATTGTGTTTGTTTGAAGATGATTTTTCCACAGATTTAACGGTCTTTCTCGCCATCGCCATCCCGCCAGGTCCTTGTTTGAGGGCCGGCATCGGGTGGGGGTGGTCTATGCTTCGGCGGTCCCGGTGAATGCCTACCTGAATCAGGTGGTGGATCCTGGATCTGCACGAAAGGCGATAGGCCGATAGGTCATGGGAATATGATGATTTTAAAGAAAAGAATGATCAAATTTGGGTGTGTATGTGTATATATATATATTAATGATTTGATGGATATTGTATGATACTGTATCACATATATGTATATGTGTATATATATATATATGTATATATGTATGTATATATATATGTATATATATATATGTATATATATATGTATATATATATATGTATACATATATATATGTATATATATATATGTATATATATATGTATATATATGTATATATATATATGTATATATATATATGTATATATATATATGTATATGTACAATGGGATTTAATGGGAATGAGTCATTGACCCATTGGATATATATATATAATTGGATGTAGGACCGGTTTTTCAACAAGGCAAATCATGGCAGTTCGGCCCTTTGAATCAGGAGGCTCTGCAGGACACATGGGGATTTTACGACGGTGGTTTCACAGCAAAAATGCGGTGTTTCTATGGAATGACGCCCCTCAAATAATGTCATACTGGTCATACCAATGTGAATTTGCAACAAAAAGCACCAGGTTTTTACTTGAAGCCACCAATCAGGCGATAAAAAACGAGCAACAAAAATTGGTTGGATTTCACCAGGGAAAATCACTGGGTAGAGCGATTGCTTGGTCAAGTTACGGAGGAGCCCTTTTCATTTGTTGCAGGGTAGCCAGGTAGCCCATGGTACCCCCAAAATCTAGGAACATGATGGAA